TCCTGCCTCTTTCCCTCCCACTCACTCAGCTCCAGGCTCAGGGCACCCTCTTTGTCCATGAACACACAAGATGCCTTCCTGCCTTTGGGCCTTTACACAACTGTACTCTGGAAAATGTTGTCTCCAGTTGATGATAATAATCATGATATCTGGGCACTTCCCTAAATGCTCTACATCTATTCATTCTTACATAGCCACACTCAGAGTAGGTATTACATCATTATAGATGAAGCTAGTAAGTAGTAGAGCTGGGATTTGACTCCAGCGCCTGCAATGTTAACTACTGTGTTGTTCTGCCAGTCACATGCTATTACCTCTCACAGGCCTGCATGGGGTGACTCTTCTTCAGTCTCAGCTCAGACAGTGGCCCCTCAGGGAGGTCTTCCAGGGACTGCCCTCCGATCTTTCTTCCTCCATTCCCACCTTGGCACTCTCCAACATACCAACTTTTATTTTCTTCATAGCATTACGATCTATCTGAAACTGTTTTGCTAAGTTTTGTTTACTTGTTTATTGTCTATCCTCCCTCATAAGAACGTAAGCTTCCAGACAGCAGGGACCTTGTCTACCCATTAACTCCTGTGTTTCAGGCACATAAGGGGAACCCAATTAATACTTGCTGAATGAATAAATATTCAGCCAGGATAGAGTTCACATTCAATTAGGATTTCATCCTACAGGATTTTTTAAAAACAAAGTATCTAAAAGTATATTGTGGCTAGAAGCAGGGACCATCTATAGTTCAGTTCCTGAAGCAGTCTATTAAAAGTGGTGTTGACCACCTCTAACAGGCAAAAAGAAAAACAGATGGTGAAACAGTAGGATTTGAATCCTCACAATATTCAAATATAGTAATTCTTTATGGGTCTATCATGCATTAAACTGTGTAAAAATTTCCTTAACATATTTACATTTTGGCTTATGCATCTTATTAATACCCTCCACCCATTCTGCAGAAAAGACACACTAGCCCTCTTCACTACTTTAGTTACTTTCGTCAGTTCATCTCTTCCTTAAGATGGAGCAACCAGAACAAAGCCTCAAGTGCAGAAGCACCACAGCTTTGTGCAATGCCCAAAACTCTGTTGGTCTCTGGACTGGATAAGCACACTTATTTAAGACAGAGGTTCTCAACTGGTGTACCATGACAGACTCTTCACAAGAGTGCTGCAAATTTTAGTCCATGTGTAAAATGCATTTTTGCTTCAGGTAAATAATAATGTTGTTACTGTTTGTGCAGTTTTGCTTAGGAGACAATATATACTTCTACCAGTATGAGTCAAGAAACATGGCACCATATCAGATAAATGCCAAAGAAAGACTTTATGTGAGAATGCTGTTTTGCGAGTACATAGAAGAAAGAGATCAAAGAGGTAAATAGTTCTATCAGTGACTTGGTGCTAAAGAGCAACCATAAAACAGTGTAACCCCATGGATACTTTCAGGCACTATGAACATTGCTGTGCCATAGTTATACCATAATTATTGCTGACACATTTGGTGTCCTTTTAAGTCTTTCAATACCCTTAAACATGCCACCAAATTTTCTAGTAATCAAGAGTGTGCAATGAACACAGAGGTTAGGGATCACTGCTATAGGAAACAATATGTAAGAGTTCAAAATATTTTTTTCTGGGTCATAAATGATAGCTCAGAACTTATATAATAAGCTTTTGCTTTCTAACTTTATTATTACATATATTGCCTGCATCAAAACTCATTTAACAGTTTTCTTCCCACTCTGTAATATTTTTCTGTAGATAGCCCAATTTCCTCAGCATTTCACTACCTCAAAACCATTAGTTTCAGATGAGTTTTACATGCATAAGAAAACATAATAATTTATTGCACTAAGGAAATGACCAATTTATTAACAATTTATCAGGAGATCTTACTTTGGGAAACCTCCCCTCAAACCTACTGAAAACAAAAACAATTGAAACTAAACTAGAGACAAAGATAAAAATAGGTTTAGCTTGGGCATTGAGGAATTGTTACCCATCTCATGCACCAGTTTTCTTCTGCCTTGCTCAAACAGCTGTTTATAATCTTGTCAAAGAAGAAAGGATATTAAAGGCTAAAAAACGCTTAACTTAGTTGTGAAGGTTACCAGTTAGGCTAAATCCATAGGTTTAGGGAAGGAAAATTGAAAGCAAGCAAAAGGGAAAGGGAAGAGGAAAGAAAGCTGGGAGGAAAATAGAGGATAGAATGAGAAGAAAGAACGAAGAGCTTCTCCCTTCATTTGTGCCACTGCCACAGCTGTCATTCAAAGTAGCACAAGTTACTATTACGTATCCAGGACTATGAATTCACACTGGGAGATTGAAAAGAAGACAAGATTTGTCCTCAGGAATCACAATCTGGTTAGGGAGATAAAGTAATCTTTATGAATTAATTAAGAGTGTTAAATTGTGAGGTCCTGCTGGAGAAAGGAATTTAGAGAAAGGAGAAATTAGTGTGAACAAAACAGCCAAAGAGGCTTTCATGAAAGCTTTAAACATAAGTTGGTGTTGAGGATGAGTAGGATTCAATAAGCAGAGGGGAGAAATTTAGAGAGAGAAGTAAAGAGGTAAAGCTTAAAAAATCTATGAAAATGTCAGAAGGGAGAGAATTAAGTTAGCCATAAAAAAAAAGGTTAGCATTATGCCACAAAGGTCAGAAATAGAAAGGATTCAGCATCATTTAAAATAAAAATAAAAGGTAGTTTTCATACAGATTCTTACTGTTAACGTGTTAGGGAATATGCTCAGTTCTACTCAATGTTTTTTTCCCAATACCCCTAGGTAGTTTTTTAAATCTCATAATAAAGAATTGGTGACATTTATAATAAAACACACTGAAAAAGCTCACTACAAGTTACTTTGTTCATATGGTAGTCTAGTGATATAATTTATGGCCTCAACTCAGGTAAACATATTTAAATATAATATACTGCCCATCTCTTTATGTGTCCTTACCTCAGGTTCCTTCGGATTTGTGTAAAGCTATTTAAGGAAAAATGAACAGCATTTAATTTCTGAAACTAGATTACTCCCCACAGAATACATTTTCTATGTGAAGAATTCAATTTGTGCTATATTAATTGAGTACTGAAATATATATATATATATATATATATATGTATCTTGAGATATATATTTCAAGCTAGAGATAGAATAAGCTCTTATTTTGTGAACATAGAGAGTCTTTAGAGCATTCTGTGAACCCTGATTATAAGGAAATTGATAACCAGATATTTATGATTACTGCAACTGCACTACAGTCGCAGTAATTTGTTATGGTTTAAAATTTTTTAAAATAACTCATATATCTAAGACTCTCAATAGTATCTTCTCAGGCTTCCCTGGCGGTGCAGTGGTTGAGAGTCCGCCTGCAGATGCAGGGGACACGGGTTTGTGTCCCGGTCCGGGAGGATCCCACATGCCGCAGAGCGGCTAGGCCTGTGAGCCATGGCCACTGAGCCTGCGCCTCCGGAGCCTGTGTTCCGCAACGGGAGAGGCTGCGGCGGTGAGAGGCCCGCGTATCGCAAAAAAAAAAAAAATAGTATCTTCTCATTTTCCTTCTATTCTTAACTACATATACCGTGTTATACCAGGAAGTATACAAAGCTTCAAAAAAGTCTGTAAAACTTCAAAAACAAAGAGCTTTGAGTCTGTAAATTAACTCAGAAAATGAGATTCTAATAGCCAATAGATGAAGCAGATAGTATAGCCTATATATTTCCTCATGTATTATAATATGCCAAAGAAATATGTAGATTGTGATATTTTATTAAAACTTCTGATAGTTTTTTTTTTTCTTCCAAAATGCATAGGACAGACAATGAAATTCAGGGAGGATGGGGGAGCGTACTGTTTTATTATTTCACTTGCCAAAAGACAATGAAGCAGAGACAGAGGCTTGGTCTTTAAATGTGCACTTACTGTAAGTACTGCCATGTGTAGCTTCAAGAGAAAAGAAAACTATTGTTACTATACACTTGCACCTATGTTATTATTATTTTCAATAAAGTCTAATTAAAATATGACTTTCAAATTAAAAGATCTGGGTAGGAAAAAAATACTATTCAGAAGGTCAGAGAAATGGATACTAATTATTCATCCATTCATATGAGTCTCTATTACATACCCAAGGTTCTGCTGGGGAGGGGAGAGATGAAAAAAAAAAAAAAAGAAGAAGATAACTATCCTTAGTCTCTATAAGTTACATTCTAGTTTGGGTGGCAAAAGATATACAAAATAATTCATTATTACTAAAAGTTAATTATGCCATAAGCATCTCTAAAACAGTTTGCGTTTTGAAAGTAATCTAAAATAAAAAATTTTAAGTCTGATATAAGTCTACAAAATCTCTGCCCTCCCTACAACTACATTACTATAAACAGATTCTGCTTGGAATAATAATGGAATATATAGATACAGAGATAGAGATATAAGCAAGCCTATTAAAAACTAGGATACAAATGAGAAAATTTCAGGACCATAATTTTGTATCAAATTATTCACCTATTTCACCCAAAAGACTAAAACTTTAGTGACACTGTGTGGCCGTTTTGGTTACTGCATACAATTGATTTTAAGACTACACAGTAAAACTCTAATTAATATTAATTATTTAATTAATAGTTCATTCATTCATTCAAAAATAGAAATGGCCCCTGATCTCAGGGAACATGCAGACCAGCAGGAGAGAACAAAAAAAGCACACAGATAGGTACATTATTACAATTGTGTTAATTGCTATGAAGTAGCAGCACTGAGTGCTTGTGACCATTAAACAGATGGACAATCTAGGCTGGGAGAGGGGTGGCGGGAGGCGTTGTCAGGGAAGGCCTCCCCGAGGAAGTAAATATTTAGGCTGGGACCTGAAGGATAAATTGGAATTAGCCAGATAAAGAGTGTGGGGTAGGAAAGAAAATTTTGCAGGCAAAAGTAACAATATGTACAAAGGTAAAAGGCACTTGGCATGTTCTCGAATGCTTGTGTGCTTGAACATGATGAGCAATGGTGAGAGTGATGCCTTGGAAAGTATGGTCCCTAGACCAGCAGTCTCAGCATCACTTGGAATTTGTCTGAAATGAAAATTCTCACACCAGAAATTTTGGGGTGGAACCTGGCAATGTGTGTTTTAACAGGCCCTCCAGGTGATTCTGATGCAAGCTAATGTTTGAAAACTACTGCTTTAGATTATTAACTCATTTAATTCTCAAACAACCCTAAGAGGTTCGTTGTATTATTATTGTAAAGAAACTAAGTTACCAAGAGGTAGGTATGTGCCAAGATCACACAGGTATTAAGTGGCAGAACTAGGATTCACTTCAGACTGACTTCTTCTAAACCTTGAGCTCTTAACTATATTTCACTGCCCCTCAAAGATGGGCACTCAAGAAATGTTGCTAAATGAACGGACAAAGGAGAATGAATGAGTGCTGTTCAGTGTACTGGTGAGGACCTTCTTCCCCTCTCAACCTGTCTAAATACTAAGGGCCTTCAAAGTCATTTTCTCCCAAAGATTTCCCTCATGTCCCTCACTGGATATAACCCCTCCTTTTCCATACTTCCTTTGCACATGATCAATATCTTGCCTTTGGTATGCATCACTTTCTAATGAAATATCAAACTGATATGAAAAAATCAAAATTTAACAGCCCAACATGGCACAGGTACTGACCAATCAGAAAAGATGCCAACTTAGCCCTGGTGCTGGGTTCCTGGAAGTTCCCCCCTGGGCCAGGTGTCAACCCTTTAGCTGCTAGATTGTGGAACAGTCTAGGGACATCCCAGAAGAGACACTGGTGGGGTGAAGGGGCAGACATGGTGGGAGTCATTTGGGATCTCAGAGAAGCAACCATTTACCACTGGATATAGAGTACTTCAACATTTTAACAACAGGTACAGCTATGCCAGTGTGCAATAGCTGATCATCAGCCGTGCATATGAATGTCATCTATCTTCTGCCATGCACTATAAGCTCTTTGTGTGCACAATCTCATATCTGTTTTATTTTTGTATCCCTCAACCCCCCAGTCAGTGTTGAATAAATCACAAGTAATAACTATTCAATGAAAAAGGAAATATATCAGTGCAACTAAATAATCCAATGTAAGGCTTACTCACCTTAAGGTTTTTTAAAGGAATAGGAATTGAGAAGTAAAAAGAAGACAGAGATGGGGAAAGGAGAAAGCAGTGGTGGAAAGTTCATTTATATATTATCTCTTCAACTAGGACTAGAGCCTCTAATTTTTACACTCTTCATAGCTGTCTTGGGCAGCAAGAAAAATCTAATGCACTTAAATTCAAGCTGAATTTTAAAAAATTCAAGCTATAATACTAGCTATTTTGAGGGAACAGGTTATATACATGTGCCAAACTTAGCTAACAAAATAACTAACATAGAATAAAAACCAATTATTCAAGTCCATTTTTTCCTTTCATATCTGCAAATTGAATCGCCACTATTTTGAACATGTTCAATGTGCTAAATGCCAGATTCTTGTCTGCCCTTTCCCACATCCTGTGGATCTCTTCCAGTGACTTCAGAGGAAATTCTGTGGTCAAAAAGATATGAGTATGTAAAAGAGAAAAATGAGGGTTTCATTTCTAATTGATGTAAACGAGACATCAACAGGACAACAAAGACACAAAATAAAAAGAAACTGGTTCATGAATGCAAATATAGGAACTGGTATACTGTTAAAACACAACAACAAAATAAAGGCTAAATTTTTCTTTTAAAGGGATAAAGGATGAGTCTTTGATCCTGGTGTAAATTTAAAAACATTCTTACGTATCTCTTTTCCAAAGCATCAAAACAACCTCGAATCCTGTCAAGAAATAAATGTTTGGTGTCAATTTGGACCAGATGCAAAGCCAGAAAGAATCCCAAGTACAAAACTGATTTGTTTCTTGCTTTGAAATACATTAAATTGATAACCATTTCACCTTTCCCATTTAATCATTTTTTAGAAATTCCTATATCTTTTAATATGTTGATAGTACTTTATAAATAATATGTAAGCAATTTTGAGGTAGGGAATCACATCTTATTTTTCTTTTGGCCTCCCATAATGTTTAGGACACTGACATGCATATGATGAGTAATCAAATTTTGATTGATATTTTTCTTTCTTATATAATATAAGTCCATTTTCTTCAAAAACAAAACTAAATCAGTATCTTAAAATAATATTGAATAGGGCTTCCCTGGTGGCGCAGTGCTTGAGAGTCCGCCTGCCGATGCAGGAGACGCGGGTTCGTGCCCCGTTTCGGGAAGATCCCACATGCCGCGGAGCGGCTGGGCCCGTGAGCCATGGCCACTGAGCCTGCGCGTCCGGAGCCTGTGCTCCGCAAATGGGAGAGGCCACGACAGTGAGAGGCCCGCATAACGCAAGAAAAAAAAAAAAAAAAAAAAAAATATTGAATAATTGTTACACATTTCTAGGAAATTTTTTAAAAAAGAAGATGAAAAGAAAGAAAGGAAGAAGGCAATAGTTTTAAGGAAATGATCTTACCAAATAAAGTCTTATGGGTAATTTCAGCTATGATAAAAATAATGTTGTTCAACTTTGGTGGAATTTCAATTACTTACCACCTGATAATATGCAGTGACCCAGGACATTTTTTATCTTCTCGGAGGATTTTTAAACTGAGGTCTACAAAAATAGAAACAGTCTGTTGTACTAAAATTGTCCATACTAAATAAGGGTATTTCCTTTCATGATTTTATTTTTATAACTTACTTAGTTTATAGCTTATAAAAACATTTTGAATCACTAAATATCTAATTTAAAAATAAATCCTATGTTGATAATTGACTTAGTTCCCATTTTTATTATAGATTAGCAGTCTTCCCTTCTACAATGTAGCACAACTGATTTGGTTGCAAAATCAATTTGTGTCACTTCTTTGCTTCTGCTGAATTCTAAGTTATCATAAGGTAGTACTGAGACCATCTCCATCAACCAATTTAAAACGTACACCTCAGTCTCAAATCACTTCTCTGGTACTTCTCTCCCTCTCTCAATGAAAGAAAAAAAGGATGAAAAATGTTTCCATGGATTATTCTCAAATATTAATTTCCATCTGAAATTCGACTACCTTACTATAGGAAGGAAGAATAAGAAAATCACATTAAAAGTTTTGGTTTAGATCAGTCTAAAATCAATTACTGATTCATGTATGACTTTGTATAAATCACTTCACCTTTTCAGATTGTTTTCCTATCCTAAAATTGATGTTACCTCTATTGCTATTGAGAGATATGAAAATTATTCCATATTGGTATAACATTTAAGAGATTGCCAAAAAGAGAGCAACTTAGGAGTACTGGGCATTTTTATGATATATGCTACTTTAAGTACAAACACTGAGAGGGAGATATATAACTTCCATTAAAACTGTCACAAAAAATAAAGCTATAAACAATGGTATTGCCCTCCATGCACAGGTTAGTGATTGGCACACAATAAGCGCTTAATTACTCCAAATACGTCTTTTTCCAATTCTATACTCCAAACAAGAGGAGAAACTGCAACTATATGCTACATATAAACATTTTCACTATTACAGGTTTATATCCTATAGACCAAAAGAGGACATAACACAAATGAGGCTGTCACAGTTGCAAATATAATGCTTTTGTGTTTATAGCACACATGCATTTCATTGATGCTCATGTAGAGAATCAAATGTTTAAGAAAATTAAATTGGAATGAGGCCTAAGTATATCATTAAATACAGATGTGAGAAATTTAAAGTAAAGTTAGATTTTGAAAAATAATATCTTACAAGGAAACTTGTAGCCCTCTATATTTATTTTCCAAATGATACTTTCCCACTTTCATGACAAATCAGCAAAATTTTCTGAATTGTTATCACAATCCATCTTTTTAAACAAATAAAAAGATTTTTGAAAAATTGAAGAGTCCTAGGTACATTCTTTTTAATACAAGAGAAGGAAAGGAGACAGAAACAGCTTGTAATACAAGGAAATGAGATCATGAGTTTAAGGACATAAGAAATAAAAGGAACAAAAGTAGAAAAGACAGAAAATTAAGAAAAAAACAGCTGATTAGAATAATAATTGTCTACATATCCATGTTAATCAACAAATGGGTTTGGCATGGGTATGCATATTTTCCACATATTTGTATATGTTAACAGAAAGCATTAAACTTCTCAATTAAAATTCCTCAAGGCCAAAGTCTACCTCAAAGAAAAAAATTCAGTTGAGACACAAAATAGTGCAAATGTACAGCACCCAAGTAGATTTCTATCTGGCTGCTGCTTTTGTAGGTGCAGTTTAGAATTACTGGGCTTGTCCATACGTATTTCTTTTCTCTTCATTCGGTGATTTGGTATTAGCCAGGAACTAATGGTTCCTATAAGTAAAACCACTAAACATAGTGAAATTAAAATGGAAAATGAATTACCAAATTGATCTTAAAGAACCCATGACTTGGAATTAGCACACTCTGTGAGAAAGTAAAGTTTTACTCCTGCCAAATAGAGGAAAAGGGCTCAACCAGCCAAAGCAACCATTTAGTTAAACTTTACCATCCAAATGGCCTTCTTCGTAAGAGCTCTCTGGAAACAGGCCCCTTAGATATGTTACACATGAGATAGAAGTAGCAAAAAGTTTCTTCACCATTATCAATGACTCATGCTCATTAGTTATTTGACATGGGAAAACTGCTTCCTGGGAGGGGGGGGGGAAATGAAAAAGATTATTATTCTTTAATATATTCAGCCCATCATGCCATTACCACAAGTAAAATGGAAAGATTTTTCAAGACCTCAAATCTGATACCTTTATAGATAATCAAAAGGAAAATGGGCTTTGAATATTGCGTCAGATTAGATCTTCACTGGCAAGGCAAAGAAGAAAGGCAGAGACGGTTATCCAAGTAGTTCAAGACTGATATAATTTATTTTACAATGAACCACGGATTTAAGCAAAATGGGGAGTTTTACTATGGTTATATAATCTTCCCTTTCATACACTCCTCAGAACCCACTGCAATCTGTCTTCCACCCGCTCTGTTCTATACTATTCTCTCCAAAGTCACTAAGTACATCCTATCATTGACCTCATCTCGGTCCTCGTACTATGTAAACTCCTCTGCAGTGCTTAACACTTTTGCCCACACTCTCCTCTCTCTCAGCTGCCATAACATCCTCAAACTCAGTTTATCTCTATCACCCTGACTGAAACCTGATCCCAAGTTTCATTCTCAGACAAATGGATCAGCATCCACTCCAATCATCCAAGCTAGAAGTACAGTCATCTTCGGCTTCTCTCTCTCCTCCATTCCCCATATCCAATCACAAAGTCCTATTAATCCTCTCTAGGAGAGTTCTCAAATTGTTTTCTCCTTTCTCTTCTCACTGCCACGGGCTTGGCTCAGGACATGGTCACTTCTCCCCTTTATTACTGTAGTTGCCTCTGACCTCCCTGCTAACAGTTCCTTTCATTCAATCTGTCCTTCATACTGCCAACATTATTAACTTTAAAGAATACAAATCTTATCATGACACTCCCAGTGTTCATACAGGATAGAGTTCAAGTGTAGCGTTTGAGAACTGTCAAAATCTTATCTTTGCCTAGCTTTCCTGTCTCATCTCCCACCCCTCCCTTCTGCCCCTCCTCCCTTATCCCCTCCTATGCACCCTACTCTCTAGCCATGTGGAACTACTATTCATCTACTGTTCTACCACCATGTATTTCCACATCTTTGTGCTTTGCTTAAGCAAAAGTTCTGCAGTATAAGTGACTCTCACAGATAAAACTGAGTGCAAGAAACCTGATACAATTGAGTACTAAAGTATGATTTCATTTAGATAAAGTACAAAAGCAGGTGAAACTAATCTATGATATTAGACGTCAGAACGGTAAATCTCTGATTACCTCATTCAAATTCAGAGGTCTTTTTTACTATACTGCACAGTTTCAACTGTTGAAGTTTTAATAATTCTGTTACTCAGAGGCAGGTACTACCCACAAATATGCATTCAGATGAAAGAGAACGCCCCCAAAGCTTTTCTATATCTATATCTGGTTCTAGAATGTCTTCAGGACATTCTAGACATGATTTTGCAATGTAAGCTTGCTTCCTCTTTGGTACACTACATAGCGAAAATGAATTATCAGCTCATCATTTTGTCAAACCATATTATATTCAGTTGTTAAAAAGATACATAAAATTTTTCTTGCATGTATGATAGGAACTTTGGGGACAAATTATTATGGATCTTAAAAGTCAGGCTGAGGGCTTCCCTGGCAGCGCAGTGGTTGAGAGTCCGCCTGCCGATGCAGGGGACACAGGTTCGTGCCCTGGTCCGGGAAGATCCCCCCTGCCGCGGAGCGGCTGGACCTGTGAGCCATGGCCGCTGAGCCTGCGCGTCCGGAGCCTGTGCTCCGCAACGGGAGAGGCCACAGCAGTGAGAGGCCCACGTACCGCAAAAAAAAAAAAAAGTCAGGCTAAGGAATGTATGCTTTATTCTGTAACCAGTGGAAAAGCAGCAGGTTTGATTAGAAGAGTGAGTAGAATAATTGTTTTACGAATATTAAGCTATAGCAGAAGTAGGAAAGATTAACGTTGAAGGAGAATTAGGTATGTAATATGCATGTGTGTGTATGTGTATGTGTATGTGTGTAAAATTTTACAGAAAATTGCTTTTGGTACCCATAGATCCTGAGAAATTCAGGTTCTTTGGGGGTTAATTGGGTAATAGCTGGCATGATACATGTATAATAACTTATTGAAAATATGCCAAAATTCAGAGGCAATACTTGAGTAATAACCACTTGTAAAATTAAATAACCTAAAAATATAAAGATGTTTACTTTAAACATAGAATTTAAAAGGCCATTTGTAATAATGAAGATCAATGATTGGAAAAGGCCTCTAGAATTGTTACTTTTCTATACTCCAGGGATTTTTTTCTCAGCTCAGTTGATCTAATACTTTAAGGGTTATCATTCACGTTTTTATAAATGTCTAATACATGAAAATACTGTGGCTTGATAATAGAAAACACTATTATAAATTATTTTAATAAGAAATTGTGCTAATGATATAAGTAATGTTTGACAACTCAGCTGTCAAGCTACATGACCTACGGCAAGTTACTTTACTTCTCTGAGCTTCAGTTTTCCCCTTATTTCAAGGTTTAAGTGAAATAATAATATAAAGCCCTTGGCACAGTGCCCAGCACATGGTAAGTGCTGAATAAATGTTAGCTTCTATAGTTATTATTATTGTTGTTTTAAGTATTAAATAGCAAAATCATACAGTCACTTAAAATTTACTGGGAGAAGTAGCTCATGCAGTCCAAACTACAAAGATCTGTTTATATCAAAAGGTCAATTTGTTAATTTACAGTGAGAAAAATAACTGCCAAGCTGATTGCAATTCATATACCCAGCTCAGCATTTTCACCCCAGGAAGGGTTTCCTAAGTGGAAATGCAATGAGATCAGGAGTTGGCTTGGTGAGTATATTGAATTTGAGCCAGAAAGATGACTGCTTTCTCTCTGCCCTAATTCTCTTTCAACTTCAATCTTCCCTGCCTCTGCTACAGCTTAATATTCCTAAAACATTATTTTACTCACTGTCCTGGTGAAACCACTGACTTTCCATTGATTACAGAATAAAGCATAAATTCCTTAGCCTGGCTTTTAAGATCCACATTAATTTGTCCCCAAAGTTCCTATTCACTTTTATTTCCTACTTCTGTCCAACATGATGACACTCCACTACAGTAAGGATGGATTCTTTGTTATTCTCTGAAACATGCCATGCTCATTTCTTACTCTGAGCCAAGGCATATGCTAGTTTTTCCTCATGGAATTCTCTTCTCTCTCCTCTCTCCTAATCCTTTTCATTAATTAAGGTCCACCTTAAGTCCTATCTCCTTCGTGAGGAATATACAAACCATTCCAGTCTATATAAAATCTCTGAATTCCTATAATTTATATTGCTTTACTCTTTTCACATATATTTAATGCATATACTGCTTTGTATATTGACTATAAATCTTACTTCCCTAACCAGATTATAAACTTCTAGAATGTGAAGATTCTTTTTTTTTATTCTCTCAGAGAATAACACAGCATTACATATATATTATATAATATTAAGCTGTCAATGAATCAATGAATGATTCATTAATGAATGTCATGGGACAAGATAAATTTGCCCAGGTGAACCCAGCAAAGTTGCCTGGCCCTGGCATGCTTCCCCAGGGCCCCAGGATCCTAGTTTCTCTAAGTGCTCTCTCCTCCAGTTCTTATAATTACATCATAGTGTGCATTAGAAGTGTCCTAATTGTGTCAGGAAATGAATGTCTAACAAAGAGCCATTCTCTTTAAACATCTTTTTTTGTTTCTGATTTCTTTTCCTCTACAAAGTCTAAATATATAAACATGAAACAAGCACCCAGTAAGTTACTTTGTAGAAATCTATTCTAATTTCCTGAACATCCTCAGTCCATTAGCCAGTTAAAATGTAGACATACTCTGCCAGAATATTATGTGCCGATTAACTGATAAAACTGCTGTTTAAAAAAACACCAAAGATTAAAGTCATGTTTCTGAACTAACTCACTAAATAGTCATTGATTTTCTTTTAATTCTTAATAAATACCTTAGGTGCCTTGTGAATTCTGATAGAATGAGAGAGCTGAGCAGTGGCCATTATAGCAATCTATCAAGGATTCTTTTAACAAGTCTACCTGTAAAAAAAAAAAAAATTAGAGACCTTGCCTAACGTAATCCTTATTGTGAATTTTCTGAAGAACTATATAATTAGCATTTGATTGTATTCTTTTGAAAATTAGTTTAATAAACATTTTTATCTCCACTACCAATTTTCTATAAAGTAAGATCTCTGGATTAGTTTTTCCAACCACCCAATAAAAATTTAAGTTGACTTACTTGTTCTCAAATACATTTGGAGGGGAAAAATAAATTGTAAATCCCCTAAAGAGTCAACAGTATATTTTACTCATCCTTGTTATTCCCTCAGAGTGTAACAGTGCTCTCTATATAACAGGGGCTCAAAAATACTTCTTGAATTAACTTCATGTGTAACTAATTTTCAAAGTAAACTCAAAAGTTAAAGTTTACACTTCATACTCATTAGGATGGCTATTCAAAAAAGTGGAAAATAACAAGTGGAGGTGAAGATGTGAAAAATCAGAATCCTTGTACACTGCTGGTAGGAATGTAAAATGGTGCAGCTGCTGTGGAAAACAGTATGGCAGTTCTTCAAAAAGTTCAATAGATTTACCATATTACCCAGCAATTCCACTTCTAGGTCTAAACTCAAAAGAATTGAAAGGAGGGATTCAAACAGATTACACACCAATGTTCACAGCAATATTATTTACAATAGCCAAAAGGTGGAAACAACCCAAATGTCCAACAACAGTTGAATGTATTTTTAAAATGTGGTATATACAATGGAATATTATTCAGCCTTAGAAAGGAATGAAATTCTGATACATGTTGCAACATGGATGAACCTTGAAAACATTATGCTGAGTGAAATAAACCAGACACAGAAGGACACATATTGCACGATTCCACTTATATGAGGTAGAGATACCTCAAGTAGTCAAATTCATAGCAACAGAGAATAGAATAGAAGTCACCAGGGGCTGGAGGGTAGAAAGAATGGGGAGTTCAATGAGTACAGAGTTTCTGTTCAGGATGATGAAAAATTTTTAGAAATGGGTAGTGGTGATGGTTGTACAACACTGTGAATGCACTTAGTGCCACTAAATTATACACTTAAGAATGGCTGAGATGATGAATTTTATGTAATGTACATTTTGCCACAATAAAAAGTATTAATATTTAAAATACATAGTTTTCAATTCTGTTGCTTCACTAACATAAAAAAGAAGTAAATATCCCTTTTCTTTTCAAAGGACTTAATTTATAGTGTAGTTTCTTGTCAAGGTTTTATGGAGTTCTGACCAAAATATCTGTAGATAACCCACTTAAAGAAATTCCATTCTGGATCACTCAGGATAGCCTGTGACTTGTTTTTGTGTACAAATTAATGCAAGATTCTGGAAGATTTTGCAAATATAAGAGAGCAGAATTATTTAATGACACTGCCACAAGGTGGTGATAGAGATTATAAACAGGTAATAATTTCTCTCAAATTACTTCTTCAGAGCAGCACTAGGGGACACTCTTTTACAAGATTTTACATGAGACTGAAACCACGTAATAGTCCTTTGGTCCTTAATGATTCCAAGGTATCTTTTGTGGACTTCAGATTATAACCTTCATTTCTGAGTGTAACCTGACCCTTTCTTAGCTTTTGGTGTTCTTCAAGGGCTCTGTCCTAGGGGCTTTTTTTTCTTTTTTTTAACTTCTAAACACACTCCCTGGATGAACAAATACTTTCTCGTTGTTTCAATTATATTTCTATTCTAACGACTCTTAGATGTATTCCCCCAACCTAGGTTTCACTGGGGAGTTGCAGATCTATACCTCTATGAGCCAGTTCCAATTTGATGTTCCCAGCATACCCAAATGTGAATTCTTTTGCCCGAAACCTATGTCTGTACCTTAGCTAAGTGAATGACAACATCAAATACCTAGATGCTCAAGCCTAAAAACTATGACTCAACCCTGTTCCCTCCCTCATTCCCACATCCATTCTCCTTTCTCAAGTGTCCACTCCTCACTTTATACACATTGTTGTCATCTATGCATCAGATCAGTCTCATCTTTTGACTGGATTTCTTCAGCCACCAGTCTGCCTGTCACTGGTCTTACCCTTCTCCAGTCTGTTCTTTGTATTGCAGCCAGAGTATTCTTTTTAGAGTACAGACTTGACTATGTAACTTCCCTGACTGAAATACTTCAGTGGCTCTCCACTGTCCTCAGGATGAAATCCAAACTCCTTACCATAGCCTCAAGATCTGGCTCATGCCTCTTTAGCCACATCTCTAACCATTTTGCCTTACACTTTTAAGCATCAGCTATTCTTATCTACTTTAATTCACCTATATTTTCTCTAGCTTTCAGGCTTCTGTAATGTTCCTTCTGCCTGAAACATCCTCCTCCCTTTCCAATTCCTACTCATCTTCTAGACATGGCTTAGTATAAGTTTCTCAAGGAATTATTCCCTGGTTCACCACCAAGTCTGGGTTATGTGCCCATTGTAATATATTCCATATCATTGCATTTATGTATCCACCCCACCCTGCTGTGAGATAATGTGAGGGCAAAGTTGTATCAGCCTAGTTCATTCTATATTTTTTTACGTTTTTTTTTTAAGGTACAATTCAGTAGGTTTTAGTATATTCATGAAGTTTTGCAACCATCACTACCATCTAATTTCAGAAGATTTTCATTACCCTAAAAGAAACTCCATACCCACTAGCAATCACACCTCATTTTCCCCTCGCCTGACTCCTTGCAACCATTAATCTACTTTTCATCTCTATGGATTTGCTTATTCCAGACATTTAATATAAATGGAATCATATATAAACTTTTGTGTCTAGTTTAGCTCATTCTTGAATCCTTAGCACCACGACAGCACTGGAATAAACTAGGTAGGTGCTCAAAAAATATCTGCTGAATCAATAGAGAAGTACTACATGAACAAGGAAAAAGTAAGGGTCTAGAATAGAATTACAGAATTTTAGAAGTAGAAGGAACCTTAAATGTCATCTAGTCCAAACATCTAATTTTCTAGATGAGAAAATCAAGGTCCAGAGAAGTCAATTGACTTACTCAAGGTCAATCAGAACTGAGAATAAAAATCAAGAAAATTTGACTCACAAGTTAGGGGTTTTTCTACAATGACTCTGCGTAATGAAATTCCCCTTGCTTTCATTCCATCTAAAATACTGCATTACCAGCACCTTCTTAGTTGTTGGGCTTGCTTGCTTATTTCTAAACATGGTAGGGTCTCTTTTTGGTGTCCTGAAATAAACTGGCTTCAGGAAGGCAAAAAAGATCTAACTAATTATTTTAAATAGCCAGGTTCCTTTCAACCTCTACCTATTCTGTTGCTACTGTTTTTTTCCCTTTGAGCAGGTGTTTTGTGGAGGTCTCCTATTCAAGTACAAACTCTGCTTAATTTTGAAAGCTCACAAGCTGACAGCCCCAGGAGGTATGACTCTACAGATCATGTACTCTCAGAGAATTACTCTGATATTTTTTTATCACCTTGTTCTGACTCATTATCTAAAACTTAAGAGATATTTCATAACTATGGGTTTTAAGAACAGAACTTTAACTTCCAAATGTCTTTGACTTATATATTTGCTTGTATATTGGATCCACAAACATCTGAAACTTCACAGGGCATCAATACATTCACTCTTATGCTTGATACGTCTACTCTGTGACAAGGATTATGATCTTCTTGAGAAAAACAAAATTTCTGTGTTTTCTCAGATAAGACTCACTCTGGGCTTACTTCTTGACCTACATCACAATTGCCCTATTTAAAGTGGTGGCACAATTACTCTTTTACCCTTTTATGTGTGAATCCAAGATTCAGATAAAAATTAACCAGCTGTTGTTTAGTTTCTGAAGGCCTAAGCCACTTTTTTTTGGGGGGGGGGTGTAGGTGGCATTCTGAGTGACACACAAAAAAAAGTTTCATTACATTTGACCAAAGACAATAATAGTTGATTTCCTAATGCTCTTCACCCATCTTTCCCAATCTTCCAAAACCATTTTTTTAAAACAAGAAAACCCCTTTTCTATCAAATGTATAATATCCAACAGCTAGATTCTAAAATGCAGCTAGATGACCTTCCATACATGTGTATGGTATGAAGGATGGCTTTACTCAAAGGAAGTACATGTCAACATAAATGGGCTTAATTCAGAGTTGGAAGGGGGAGGAGACATCCTCTAAAACGAATCCAATCCTTTCATTTTAAAGAAAAGGAAAGTCAATTCAGTGGAGGAAGGATAGTCTTTTTAACAAACAGTGCTGGAACAACAGGACATCCATAGACCAAAAAACCCTGAAAACCTTCAACCTAAATCTGACACCATATACAAATATTAATTCAAAATGGATCATAGATTTAAATGTACAATATAAAACTATCAGTACAAAGAAGAGGAAAGTGAAGTCCAGTAAGGGAACATGGTTTGCTAAAGGTCACCCTGTGACTCAGAGGTTTCACAGAGTTTGCTCCTATAAATTATTATTCTCCATTTTAACAAATCCCATTTGGTCCTGTTAATTCCCCTACTCTGTGCTCACTCAGAGTAAATGGTTTCCACTATATTAACTGGGTATTTACTCATGCTCTTTTGGTTTTTTAATATCTTCTTCAGGCTACTTCAATTATTCATTCTATTCAACATTTACTGGGCGACTACCACGTGCTAGTCTTCGTGTAGGCTTACAAAGATGTAAAATACTGTTCCTACCTCAAGAGATTTATGGCCCAATGGGGGAGAAATTAGATTATTATCCTAATCAGATTTAAACTCCTTTACGGGCAAGAACTGTACTTTTTCTTCATTTTCATCAGCCAAGTAACATGATGTACTGCACACCGAGTCCAGTGCTCTGCACAATTGAACACATTTCGGTGATTGGTTAATCTTGAGTTTCAAGACACTCTCTCCCCTGCACTGTTTGGGGAACTAAAGTCCATGAGATTAAACAGCAAATCCTGGATAAGGCGAAAGAGGAGC